CATTCCAATAACTTGCATATAGACTCTTACGGCCCGTCCACACGGCGGCGTGCGTTGAAGCTTCAACGCTTCTGCCCATTCACTTTGAATGGGGTGACGTCACGTTTCGCCGAACTGCATTGTGGGAGCGAAGCGTAGCTTCAGAAGCGTTGCTCGCTGCAAAAGTTGAGCAATGTTCAACTTTTGAAGCCTCGGCGGAAGCGTCAGCCAATCGAATCATATGCCAGTACAAGCTCTAGCCAATCAAACCGCGTGCTTGTGTGTCCGGGGCGGGAGATTCATGTGATTGGTTGTTGGTCGAGTTTCAGCCCCGCCCCGCCGGCAAGCTTCAACGCACGCCGCCGTGTGGACGGGCCGTTATTGCACTATTTCAAACTATTTTTCTTTTGTATTTACTATATTACTATTTACTTGCACTATATTCTTCTGTTTATCTGTGTTATTGTGTTGCACTGTGGGAGAAGCCTGTGACCTAAGAATTTCCTCGGCATAACTACACTGTAGCTATATGACAAAATAAAGAACCTTGAACCTTCTTTACCTCCCTGTGTCTGTCAGCCCTTCTCCATCACTCTGTCTATCAGTTTACACACAAATCATAATAACGATACATCCTTCTGAAAAACGTTCACAATTTAAAAGAAAAATGCCATTCTCTGTCATGTGACAGCTAAGGTTTCAGATTAGAAATCATCAAGATTTCTGTAGAATTGCTCTTCTCTTAATTAGGAGAACATTTAATAAAAACACACCCTGTGCAAGATAAATCTCAATTTGCTTCGTCCAACGCAACATACCTTTTAAATTTGAGGATCGTATTTTTTTTTACTAATGTTATAAAAGGTAACTTAGATCATTATGTTTAAGAGTATTAAAAATGATTGGATTATTAAAGATGCACAAGTGGTGTATTACTGCTAATAAAGATAATAAAAAACCCTACAAGCAAAATGATATTACATACTGCTTTCAGATGCTTTTTGATATTCCTGTAGCAGCAGAAGTTACACTCTGTTAAATCAAATGTTTATAGTGTCAGCTTGATTTACTGATGATCTTAATTTGAAAAATAAAAACTATACCAAAAATCGAGTCATGTGCTCGTTCGTGTGTGTTGGAGGAGGGGCTCTATAAGGAAGTGGCAGATTTTCTCCGGTTGTGTATTTTCAAATTCTAGCGATCTCGAGCCGGTTTCTCAAACTTACCTACCCTACCTTTAATACTATTATTGAGGTAGATGCTTTTGATGCTGCCATACCGCATATTTGACACTGTTGTCAACAAAAATAAAAAGCACCAATCAGGACAAAGTGAAAGCCTGTAGACTGTAAACAAAGCATTTGACAGCTCAGACACACACACACTTACCTGCACCGCCTGTCTTTCATAGAGAGACATGGAATTCATTGGAGAGGGGCGGGAGCTCGCCGCAGATGCAGCATTCCCATTGGTCGAGGCCCCCTGCTGGTTCTGCTCTCCATCTGTCTCCATGGTTGCTGAGGAGACAGAGGAGGCGTCCATCAGTCAAACTCTGACATAAACAAACACTTCACTTCACTTCCTCCCAGAGCCCAGCTGATGAAAAGCAGCCGTCATTGTTCCTGACAAACAATGTTCTTCACAGAGATGCTGTACGATACTGACTCAATGTTTTACTGGGGGGCTGATACAGTCCTCATCAAACGCATAACTCAACAATGGATTAATAATGTGCCTAGAAACTTGAAGCAGCATTTCCCTTAAAAAATATCTGTGGGATTTACAATTGAACATGACAGTTTGTGTTAGTTTTGAGGAAATGTGTCAAATGTGTATGCACATACAGCAAACATCTCCTAAATAGAGTTCTAAATATTAAATTACATATTGCTGAGGCAGAGTTTTAGGAATTAAAAAAAATCACTTGTCAGTGCTGTGCAAATACCCTCTGTTATAATAACACTTTAAATAAACTCAAACACATATTTAACATGTCTGTACTGCAATTGTTGTAACTTTTGACTGACATAAATGCCAACATGGATGCATCTAGGATTACCTACAATTGGCCAAAAAACGAATCTTCCTAATCTGTGGTTTATAAAACTGCACATGAACTCACCACAGCTAAGGGGTTGCACACATCTGGAGATATAACAAGAACACATCTAAATAGCCTACATAACAACAATCTTAAACACAAACAATACTGCTCCACTAGCCGACTGTTTTTCCTTTTCTAACATCGTAATCACTATTTAAAGAAAACTATTTAATTTGTATTTATATATCTGGATAAAGTATAGGCCTATTTAGACCTAGTGCATCCCTTCCATCCCTGCATCATCATCTCACACACACACACACACACACACACACACACACACACACACACACACACACACACACACACACACACACACACACACACACACACACACACACACACACACACACACACACACACACACACACACACACACACACACACACACACACACACACACACACACACACACACTCTCTCTCTGTCTCTCTCTCTCTCCCTCTTCAGCTGCAAGCATCCTCTGAGAAGCAGCCTCAGAGCTGTTAGCTAGCTGGCCTCCATGTTTAACACCAGTAAACACTGGCTGCACCGGAGGCTATACCTCCTAGCATCCCATTAGCCGCCGCTACTGTCTGGCTGGTTACCGGGGGCTATCGGTCCGTGCTTACCGTCACCGGTCCGGGTTTGTCGGCCTCCTCCTGCACCGGCTGCCCGCTGCAGCTCGACTCCGGGCGGCTCCGCGGGGTCCGGAGCTTCTCGCTGATGCTTCTTTCTTTCACTTTGCAGGATGGCCGCAGCAGCAGCACGGCAGCAGTGATTTTACTGTTTTGCATAAATTTGCAGCTGATGGTGTTGTTGAAGAGGGAAACGCCTCCTTTTTTCCGCTGCTCTGCCTTTTCCGGCGCGACGGGATGACGGAGAGGGACTCGGGGTGTTTCTCAGGCTGGTTTCTCACTTCTCTTATTTTCATTTCCTCGCTCATCGGTCCTCGGTATCACCGGAAGTTGATTTGTCTGTGAAGAAAACACATGAACCTCATGGGAGTCACTCCTCAGTATATAGCCTACAGTGTTTTGTTTCAATTAATGTATCATTTAGTTACAAATATGTGATATATCTAAACAACAAAGTGGTCAAAAATCATTTTATTCATTTATTGGAAACATTTTCATGATCGCTTTTTTCGTTTTACATTTTCATTTATAGAGAGGCGAAGTCCCTCCCCTTCTGGTTGAGCTCCATGGAACCTTATTTCGGAAAAGTTATGAAGTCAATGGAGAGAGAAAGATTATCTTTCGATCCCGTTTGAATTGTGCCACGAATTACACATAGGCTATGATGTTTGTCAATTTAAAAGATAATTTTACAAGTAAAAAAAAATAAAAATGTGTCGTAAAACTGTGAAGTAACACTTTTTTTTGTGTGAAACCGCTCAATGAACTACATCTCCCGTCTCGCACCACACACCAAGACGGCCGTCACGTTGGCACATTTCACCTCTTTCTTTCAGAATGAGGTGAAAAGTATTAAAAGAGGTGAAAATCACTACAAGTCTGGGCATGTTGAGAGCTGTACATACACAAAAGGGGAGTTAGTCGGTTCCGTAAGAGCCAGCATGCGGGACCGGGATTCTGGGATTTGTAGTCTTTCTAGTTGCGTATTTTTCATAGTCTTATATTTCAACAGTTTTACGACAAACTGTGACTTTTTTGACATGGAAATTATTATTTAAGATTGATATAAATATAGTATAGTAGTCATATTTCGTGAACCCTTTGAAGAGTACTGTCACACCGGTGTGATCATTCTATAATACACCGTTTAAGCCCGGATGCCCCCGGGGGAGAAATGCTAACGCTAGCGCTACATTAGCATCGGTGATCTTCTCTACTTCATGCTATCTGCACAAATGGTTAACATTGAACATTAAAAAGATCAGGCAGTTCAGGGAGAATCGAAGGAAGGCAGGCAGGCAGGCAGGCAGCTTTGCATGACATTCTTCTGGACGTGTTTCATTGTGGTGATAGTGAGGGTAGTCAATCCCTTTTTTGGCAAGACAGTAGTGACAGCCATCTTGGTGACGTGTGATGTTGTGGGAGACCAGAGATGTAGTTCATTGAGCGGTTTCACACAAAAAAAGTCTTACTTCACAGGCGAGAGAAAAGTTATCTTTCGATCCCGTTTGAATTGTGCCACGAATTACACTATGATGTTTGTCAATTTAAAAGGTAATTTTGGAAGTAAAAAAAAAAAGTTTTGCCGTAAAACTTTGAAGTAGGCTACTTTTTTTGTGTGAAACCACTCAATGAACTACATCTCTGGTCTCGCACAACAACAACACACGTCACTACTGTCGTGCCAAACAAGGGATTGACTGCCCTCACTAGTATCACCACAATGAAACACATCCAGAAGAATGGTTGCAGTCGAATAGTCCATTTAGCTTAGGAACCTTTACTGCCGCTCTCTCGCCTCTTCTTCTGTGTTTCTCTTCCTCTATCGCTCACTCTTTCGCCCCGTCGGTGGTGGTTAAAATAGAATCGCCCCGTCAAAATTGAAATCCCCTATTAATGTATTGATTATAGGTCGGCGTCTGGGTCCGGATCCGGACCGCGGTCTACCTGTTACTGAACTATGCCCTATACAGACTAATTAATATCAACAATAACCATAGCCAATTAAAAGGTAATCCCTTATTTTATTTTTACTGTCATTGATTTAGAATAGCATACCCAAAATGTCTACATTTTATTATCCATTTATTGTCTATAGTGCCCTCAAATAAAAAATGCAGTATACATTTATGGATGCCTTTGTTATACTCCTCATATTTGGTATAAGCATCTGGTAAAAAAACATCCTAAAATAATTTCAGAATTTTTGTTAAGTATACTTCTATATCACTAATGTTCAATTCAATGTATAATATCCTAAAGGGAAAACAAATCTTACTAAACAATTACACCAAGTCTCGTTACATGATGAATATTTTATTTAACAACATTATATCTGTTTTATACAATAAAAACACAAGTGAAACAAAGACAGCTGGGGTGCAGCACTGGTGTAACACAAGGAAATATTGAAAAGCCTGAAAAGCACAGAAGCTACAATGTCATCTGCTCAGCTCATTACCGTCACATTAGCCATGGTTAATCACACAAAACTCATTAACAGAATCATGTAAGTACATCCTGTATCAATTAGTGGAGTCTTGTCTTGGCCAAGCTTAAAGACAATGATCGTTTGTGTCTAAAATCACTCCAGTGACACACATTCAATAACAATCTGCGAAGGTTGAGCTGCAGAGAGGCACAAATAGCAGATCTACAGTACATTATACAGTATAGACAATACATTATTAACATAGATCAGGACCAAACAATATAGAAAACAAAGAACACCCTAGCCAAAGCACCTCAATGCGAGTCAGATGTAAGCCTGTGAAAGTACATGATTCATTTTATGGGTATTTATCAATATGCAATGGTTTGGATATTGTTGCAGATCTTTGTTGACCCATAATATTTGCTTGGTTTGTAAATAACTCCTTGGCTTTTGACAATGTTGGCAACAGGCCTCATTATGGCAATTCCCTTTTTTTAAAGAACCCAAAAGGACAATATGCTGATGGCTGAGAAACATGACACACCTTCACTACTATCTACTGCTGTGAGTGTAATCTGATGAGGCACACAGGAAAACAACATGGCTGTGGTTGAGTGATTAAAAACACGTGAAAATAAAATGGAGGAGACAGAAGTTAGTTAGTGATATTGTTCACACACACAAAATAATCTTAAATGTGCCTTTAATCAACTAAAATCTGTTCCTTTCTTCAACAAAATGAACGTGTGCACCCCAAACAAATAATAAGAAGAACACACGTATGACCTAGCAGGTCAACAAATAAATACTCTTTTAAAAAATACATATTTACAAATGAAAACATATATTCTCCTATATCTTTGTACAGTGAGCGAAGGGTTGTGAATTTGCACGTGTGCATGAAGGTGTTTGGTGGCTATGGTTAGGGACAGCAAGCACCTGGGTCCCTTCGTTTGTTTAAAATGATTTCACATACTTTTGTGACTCTCTGAATTCTGCTGTCTTTTATTTTACTTGAACAGTTTAAATCAGTTTTTTTAAAACCAGGGGATAATTAACGATGCTTAGTCTATTGGATTCATTTTCAATCCCTGATTTACGTAAATGTGCAGTTTTACCAACAAACAAATAATATTAACATCTGCACAATAGTTTAAACAAGAGAATGCAAGTTGGAAGTGTGATTGCACCCTGACCTGCAAAATCCCCTCTTGTCAAAATAATCATATTTTTAGCACATTTAAAACTTCCTATTTTACACAATTCCTAAACGTTTCTTCAGAGATAACCACATTTGACCTCAGAGAAAAAGTAAAGATATCGGAGGTAAATTAAATTGTGAAAGACTGAAAGACTCAAACCCGACATGGGGAAAGCTAATAGAAAACATTTTAAATCTAGACTCAGGTTTGGTAAAGATCAGTGTTAGTGTCCTATAGGAGCATCGAGGTGTAGCCAGGGATAGAAGCGGGACCTTGCATGAATACAACACTAAACACTATGTGAGGAGTGTACGTCACACATCCCCCGGTGCAAACACAGCAAGTCACTATCTTCCACAAACACAGCGATACACAACGAAGCCAAGACTCCGACCATTATATACTCTCCTATCACTGTAGGAGATATTTATCTTAACAAGCCCATATCATCGCATCAAATTAGTCCCACAGGCTTACTTTTCTTCCAAAAATAGTGGTAATCTTCAGGTTATCAGTCCATTCTTGACTAGTTACACCTCTGTCCAAGTCATTTGAATTACTCGCCATGATAAATATCTTCCCAGTGTAGCCAAAAAAAAACACATACATACATAAATAAAAGCAAAGTGCAGCATGAATTACCATCAATACAGAATATAGAAAATATACTTTGTGTCATACATTTATACACCAAACATACTGCACAATGTTGGGAATGCATACTTATGTAAAAGGTTGATGATGCTACAATAACTTTTCAGACAGAGTCACAATGTAGAAAGCACCTGTCCAATAAAGCCAGAAATACATGGGAAGCTTCTCCTTTTGAGTCTCTAAAGACAACAAACAAGGATGTTTGAATGGTATATGGAGCAAATACTTGGTTATTTATTATTTTCTAAAGCGGTACTTCCTCATCACTCACTTTACTGAGGTGTCAAAAGTCACATTCAATTTAAATGTCATACAAAGCGCAAACACTTTCTTTGTGAAGTATCACGCAACATGTCAGCATGGAACAATTTAGCACATCTCAGAGTTTTATGCCAAAATTATTTTTCTAAAATGTATTTCATTTTTTTTTACTTGAAGCCCGACTGTAGTTTCCGTTCTTAAACAATTTCCAGTTTGCTCTGAAGACAGATTTCATTTTTTTATTTTTCTTAAATGCCAGAAGTTGGAAATATTTGAGATAACTTTTCTTGTTACCTCTCTTCTTTTAATAATATATATTTTTTAAAACACCTATATTTTCTTATTTCTTCAAAGAAATAGAGAAACTAAAACTTCAATCTGTGAATTCATCTGTGAAAACATTAGCACCTTTCCTTGAAACTCCACTAACTTAATGTCGTGCTGTCAGTCATAACATGTGACTGGTGAACACAACAAGGGAGTAGTGATTTCTTTTGTGGAAAAAGAGAAATAAAAAAATCATATTAATTAACCATATTAGGAACTGAATTTCAATGACAAGTGGGTCTTCCAGTAACATATTATTACCTTATGCTTAAACATTATTAGCACTTTCCCTTTAGTTTCCTCTCTTCATGATCAGCCTCTAGATTGTTACAGCTGCAGTTTCGTTATTAATTGCACATTGTATATCACTCTTACAGTATTTAATTTAATAACAGCTAGGCCAGGTAAATATGGTTTTCTTTTGTACTTTTCTACATTATTGATTGTGGCTCTAATGCTCGCTTTGCTGCTTCTCAGGTTAACAAAGTGCATCTAACACATAAGATTGACATCATTTTACTTTATGTGATGTACAGTAGCGCAATATTTCGCTTTAATCCCAAAGGTCCTAGTTGGAAAGCATTACGATTCTAAATTAGCTTTAGTGTATTTCTATTATATACTTTATAGAAAAATCAATTTCTAACGTAATAAATATTATATCTTTCTTCAACAAAATATACATTGCACATTACCCTATTGGAATCTAATTGTGTAAAACAAATCAGCTTAAATGTTTTTATCCACAGGTCACAGTCCAAAAAGATTTAACAAGTAAAGATCTATTTGCGATGTATACAGTATTGGCTTGTCAATCAGAATTTAACGGGTTTTCTTAAACAAAATTATCTGGTTAAGAGTACATTTTGTGTATTTGGTATAAATGCAGCACCTACAATAACCACAATCCAAGACTGAGCCTGGTTAAACCATGAGAGATAGCAAGGGAAGCTCTGATCTTAAAAAAGTTCAATCAACTTTTGGATTACAGTTTACAAATACCAATTTACTATTCAGAATAAATACACTAGAGACCTGTGGATGCTGCCAACACATATGAGGTTACATGTGTTCACCAGCTGGCAAATAGTTTCAATACTTTGGCATTGCTAAAAAGTTCTCCAGCCTGTCAGCTCGTAGTACAGTATGGAGCTGCAGGCAGAGCATAAGGTTGAATAATCCCTTCTTAGACCTGTGATTTTTGGAAGGCTTCCCAAAAATATTAACACAAATTAACAGACAAAATACAGTATGGACAAAAGTAACTAAACTACTAAGGTATATTGCTAGTCCGCAGTGATGGACATGTACCTGGATCTTTTCAGGACACCATAAGGTAACAACTTTTAGAGACAACTTACTTTTACACAGCCCACGTTTGCCGTGTTCGATAAGTGTCGTCCTGACTAGACGCACAGCTGTCTTGAAAAAGACTCACCCTTTTTAATGAATAATTCCTAGGAATGTACAGTTATTAATTTCATCTGCAGTGTTGTAAAGTGACTGCTTCCCTTTCACGGTTAAGGAAGGGAGTATTTCAAAGAAGATATTCTAGGAAATGTCACAGAAAAATAAGAAGCAGAAAGCATGACCCTTTTACAGGTCAAAGCCTATAAGTTGATGATGCTGTCCTTCTGTATTATAACATTGTATCGTTTTTACCGATCGAAGGTGTGATATTTAATTACAGCACTTTTTAAATCTCTGTGATTCTTCCTTGATTTGGAACCCCCTTACTCATTAAAACTCGTATCTAAAGCCGCTCTACATACTCTCCTGCACTGTGGATTTAGATTTATCCTCAAGAGGTGTGTTTTCAGCTGCAAGTGATGGGGTTGCTGCCGGAGCCTCCACCAGCGGGACCTTCTCCTTCACCGGGGAGGCGGGCACCGTGGTGGCGGTGCTGGCGCTGGCAGGGTGGCCCTCAGGAGTGGAGAGGTTTGGAGGCGGACCGCCAAATTCGCGGGCGATTTCGTCGAAGGTCTTGCCCCTCGTCTCCGGGACTTTAATGAAGGTGAAGATGAAAAAGAGGATGAGGAATCCGGTGAAAATGAGGAAGACCCAAGGCCCGCACCATTCCTAAATGGGGAGAAGAGAGGAGAGGCAGAGTTTTAGAGAAATACTGGATTTAAAATGTTAAATTCTCATGGTAATAGTGAGTATGATCTTTAGAAATATTTTTAAAAATAGAGAAGGAAAGAGCTAAATCCAAGAAAAGAGAAAAGGATATTCTGAAGGACATACAAAATGGGAAATAATGGCAAACAGTTAAGAGGCTGTGGATTACTAACATTAAATCATTATATGTATATTATTAACATGCTTTGAAGATGACATTTTTTATACATCACAGTTATTGTCAATACTTATATCATGATAACCCTAGTTTAAAACAAAGCCAAACCAGTTCAAACTGGGTTGGCCGCCCCTCCCTTACCACTAGCTTGGGGAAGCTCATTCCAACCAGGAAGTTGGCCGTCCAGTTGCAGCAGCCGGCCACAGCCATGGCGGCGGGGCGGGGCCCCTGGGAGAACAGCTCGGCCACAATGAACCATGGGATTGGACCGGGGCCCAGCTCAAAAAATGCCACGAACATCATGACGGCCACGATGGCCATGTAGCTCATCACAGCATAGTGCTTCTGCTCAGACAGAGGGAGAGGAAGGGAGGCAGAAGAACAATGACATACCATATGAGGTAGTGATCATTAGGAAAAACAACTGAAATTGCTACTAATTTTAAAGGCTATTTCTAAGCTTATGTTAAGTTAAGGAGTTATGTTCAGGGTTCTGTCTAACCAACTGAATTAGTGACGCCAACATATTTCACTGCAATGTAATGCAAATGGTATAGGATGTTTTTATGTATAATTATGTTGGGTGGGAGCTGAACAGTGCGAACAAGGAATAAAAAAGGTTTATGCGAGTTAAAGGAATTATTTCAGAAAGGTGGTGATTTTATTTGTAAGGTGGACGTTGTTTTATTTAGATTTATGTTAAGTTAAATACTTCAATTATATTGTAATGACCTTACCATGTGTTCAAAATAATCTTAAACGTAAGTTTTTCTTATTCTAAGAGATTTCTAGCTTTCAAAAAATATATAATTTGTATATAAACAGTATATCTTTTTCAGATTGGATCAACTGTGAGGTAACAACACATTACGATTATTTGTGATTTTGATACCCCCCTGTGACGGTGCTGCACTCACCAGCAGGAGGGAGACGGTCATCAGTACGGCGCTGATTGCCATTCCAGCCAATCCCAGGAGGTGCAGAGTCCTCCGTCCCGCCTTCTCCACCAGGAAGAGCTGCAGGACACACACAGGAGGCAGTGATGTCTCTCTGAACACACACTCTGAAACATGCAGGGACATACACACTGAATCTGTCACTCACAGAAACGACAGTGAAGATGGTGTTGACGATGCCGGCTCCGATGGTGGCGTAGATGGGCTGCTTCACACCGGCTGACTCAAAGATGCCTGTCGAGTAGTAGAACACCTAAGAGACACAGAGAAGAGTAGTTATTTACCATAGATGAACCTGTCCAATTACAGTCCAAGTTCAATCATATTATCACATTGCAAATAAGGATCCACACATTTTTCTTGCAGTAAGAACTTTAAGATAAAATAACTTGAAGTAAAACATGTTACAAAATGTTACACACAGTAATTGGTCAATGTTGCATCTTGTTCTCTAGTTTAGTTTGAAATTATTAAATGATCAAATCAGCATTCGAGTAAGGGGTGGGGTGGAATCCTCGTAAGTTAATTCAAAATAAAAGTCCTCGTCTGGTTAAAGATGATTCATGCTGGAAAATGTGTTTGGTAATCGTTAGAATTACTGCAGAAGTACTGTAGGGACTGTTCTGATTTCATGCATATCATTTTATAATAATGTATATATTATTGGAATACAAATATTGATGTTTTAAAGTTTTCATGGCTTTAAGTTGAAGCTTGCAAAGGTGGTTCTGATTTGAGTAATTTAAGATCCTTAAGATATTAAAGGTTGAAGTAAAAGGTAGCAGAAAATGGCACTTAAAAATTGCACTTAAGTACATTAGTATAAATGCTTAACAGGTGATTTCTGTATTCAAATATAGATTTTGTTTAACTTATATGTACAGAAAGTAGTGTACAACTGGATTTGATTAAGTGAATTAAAAAGAACAAAAATGTGTGTGTGTGTGTGTGTGTGTGTGTGTGTGTGTGTGTGTGTGTGTGTGTGTGTCTCTCTCACAGCGTTTATCCCTGACAGCTGCTGGGAGAGCTGCAGCATGATGGCGATGAGCAGCGGCTGGCGGTACGCTGCGGAGCGGAACAGCTCTGGGATGGTGACCTTCTTCTCCATGGCCATCTTGGCGCTCTCCTCCTTCATCTCCTGCATGTCTTTACTCACATCCTCACTGCCACGCAGACGCACCAGCGCTGTCAACACAACACAATCACAATGTGTCTTTGTCTTCCACATTTAGGCTGAGAATATAAAAATGCTCTGTTCGCATGTGAGAATCTTCTGACAACCATGAAGGTCATTACATTGTATTTAAGTATTTTCATACACAGTATATACTGTATATGTACTTCTAAACACTTCTACTTAACTACAATTCTGAGAGAAATATTGAACTTGTTACTTCACGGATTTGGATTAATAATACAAAATATAATTAATTAATACCAGCTTATTATTATTAGTATAGAGCTTATTATAGGTGAACTGACATTCGAGTATGTACAATAACCCCCTCTTTCCCCAGCTGCAACATGAACATTAAAGTGATAATAATGCATCATAATTATAATAATATAATATAAGCAATTGGTTCAGTTGTTAGGAGAAACTTAAACAAGGTTATTTATCTTCACCGGGAGCTAAAAAACGAATTTGCTGCATTGAAACAACTGAAAGGTTGACTTTAAGGAAATGTATTATGTCACAGAACTGCATTAGGTTAGTTGAAAGCACCACAAACTGCAGGCAGTCACTATGATGCAGCTCTCATGAGTGGAGCCTCGTGTTTGTTTGTGTTTGTGTCAGAGGAGAGGTGTGAAGAGGAAGAGGGTCAGCGCCTGAGAGACGACCCTGGCAGCCTGCGTGTTGAACAGATGCCAAAACCTTCTGCCTGCTCAAGGACTCTTCTTCCTGCAGGATAAACATCGCCCAGACTCACCTCAATTCACCCCTGCCTGCAACTAATACTATCTCTATATTGAATCGATCCTTCTGTCGTGCTTTTCTCACTTTTATCAGCAGATTTTTTAACAAAGCTTTGAATGTCATCAACCTTCTTTTTTAGATTAAATACATTTTCTCTAAAACTGTTTTAACAGTATTTTCAGTAGTTCCAGCAGTATCGGCAGTGGTGTAACATATTTGTTAATATAGACATTGGTGTCATTTGTAAAAAAAAGTGATATTGTAAGCTGATAGTCAGTATTAGTGCGTACCTTTGCGTGCCTGCTCCTCCTGTTTAAGGTTGATGAGCAGGAAGCGAGGGCTCTCAGGGCAGAAGGGCAGCAGGATGCACTGCACCACAGCAGGGACCACAGTGAGGGACAGCAGCAGGGGCCACAGCTTGGATGAGCCCAGCAGACCCTCCAGCCCGAATACCTAAACACCAAGGGGCACAAAAGCTGGGTCAGAATTTCAGCATAGCTAAATAATCGATTAGCAGGCAACACTGTTAAACGTATTGACAAACACACAGATAAGTTGCTTACATATTAAGATTTCGAAGATAACTAAACAGCTTATACTGTAGGCCATTCAATATTTAGATTTTGTGCATCTTGCTGGGTGTTGAGTATATCAGCTTTAAAGATGTCTGCCTTTTATCAAATATAAAGAAACTAGATGGCACTTGGCTTGTGATGCTCAAAGCACAAAAAGCATGCAATGTTTCTTTCCAGAAATTGTGACTTGGTCACTCAAGATGATCCACGTACGTTGTTGTGAGCAGTTTCATATAGGAACTAGTTTTGTTCTACTAAACCAAACGTTCCAACCATATCACCGTGCAGAAGGATCTTCTTTTCTCAAATCTAATTTGAAAAGTATAGTTCCATTATATTCAGGAGAAGACAGACATCTCTACGGCCAATATTTCAACTACTTAAATAGCCCTAAATGTAAGAGGCAAAATACGTTTGTTTTTTAATGTCAATTAAGTGTTCCTATAAATGTGATGTATGTTAGGAAACCTCCTGCTGACCTGAGCGATGAGGATGCCCACTACCACACCGAGCTGGTGAAGAGTCCCGAAGGCCCCTCGTAGTGGAGTTGGTGACACCTCGCCCACGTACATGGGAGTCAGACCGGTAAAGAGCCCGCAGAACAGGCCGATGACCAGGCGACCGGCGATCACCATCTCATAGGAGGAGCAGATGGTGGAGAAGCCCATGAGGAGGCCGCCGATCACCGCTAGAACGTTCACCAGGAACATGGAGCGACGCCTGGGGAATAAGAGGAGGAGGAGAGAGAGCATTAGCTTTGCTTAGCTAACAGTTCTTCTAACAGCATGGCAATTTAAATGTTTGTAGCTTAGTGATTTGAATGACAATAGAGGAAGGGAGGTTGTTGGTGGGGTGAGCAGAATCAGAATACCTTTATTAGTCCCACAGAGGGGAAATGTGCGAAGTTACAGCAGAAAAGAAAGAGCCACAGACAGCTTAATGTTACATGCATTGAAAAGTACTAAGTTATGATATAATACAAAATAGAAAAAATATAATAGAAAAAAAAAGAAAAAAAAAAGTTACATAATTGAGAGGTTTGCGGTTAAGGAAGATTGACAAGTTTATTGATTATCTGAGGGATTACCATAAGGGTGTCAGAGCTGATTGACCTGCACAAGGGTTTGTGAAGGTCAGATGCTCTCCCATCTAATTAGTTCATCGACAGATAGTTCTTGGTCCAAATTGCAGGTCAAACACATGTGGGTTTATTTGTGAATGACTTTGAGTGTCAAGATAAAAGATATCATGAAATCGCCGGTTTTTCTTGTGTTTTCTGTTAAGCGTTTTTTCGTAAATTGTGGTTTGAGTTTCGTTTTTGTTTATAGCTACATCATAGTAGCTAGCACTAGTTATACATACCTTAAATGTCTGGAATTATGTTTATTTGCACCTTTTCGGATAAGTAGATGAAAACACCAATTGAAATTGCACGTCTGGTTTTAAGTGTGGAGCTAAAGTGAGAGGCGGCTAGCTTCTGCACAGAGGAACAGCTAGCATGAATCTCCAAGGTTAAACTAAAATATATATTTTTAAAAGTTTACCAATTCATCAAAATCATACTTATTAACACACTATGCTGCTTTTGTTTAGTCTCACACAAACAGAAACGAAGATACATGAACAGGCTAGGTTTAAGTATTTATGCTTAGCTTAGCTAATTGGAAGGAAGTGGTTTTCCCTTTAAAGCTAAAGACTTATTTCTACAAATCATACCATTTTATTTGTGGAAACAACAGGCCAAATGAATACCACATTTCAAAAGATGTGTGGAAAACCCATTTATGGCAGTCATCAAAACAACAGTCTCACCATAGAAAGGCAAAAGCATTGTGATTTGATGCTCAGGGTGAGATTCAGATGGACATTACGCAATTAAGGAACAACTCTGGGGAACATTAGGGCCAAGCAGTGGGCTCAAAACAGACGCGCTTCATAAACTCCATTAGGACTAATGGCTTTTGACAGTACACAGGAAATAAACACAGGAAATAAACACAGGAAATAAACAAAGCCATTAAAGGACGATCAATACACCCAAAGTGTTCAAATTGTCATTGAATATGTACAAAAACCCTTAAAAATGACCATTTCTACCTGTGCATTACACTTACAATGTGACAAGAACAGGTTAAGTTTCTCATTACCAAAGTTTTCACACAAGCTGCTTATATAGTTGAAAAGTCATTCCTACCTGCCAAACCGGTTCGCCATGACGCCCACGCTGAAGGAGCCCACCATACCGCCCACACTGAAGATGGCGACGGAGACACTCCAGACGATGGTACAGACCCCGGGGGTGATGGGCTCGCCATAACGCTCGACCCAGGTATCGTTGAAGAAAGATCGTAGTTTCTGATGGCAGGGACAGATTAATGAATAGAAAAATATTGGATGTATTTAAGGAAAGAAACACACCAAGGTTGCCAGAGGTCGATTAGCTTAGCATGAAAGCGATAAGAAAACGGCTAGCCTGTATCTTAAGCTTACAAACATATACACTCAATGGACAGATATGATGAAACATTTTCAAAGGAGCAACTCAACTTTCAAACTAGCAAACAAAGTAACAAAGTACATATCATGGTCCTAAAACAAATCTAAACGTTGTATACTGGTAGTTCTGAAAATCTTAATCTTTACCCCTGTATTTGTTCTCTAATAATCCAGTTTAGAGTTGCTCAAATGGCAGATCTCTAGTGTTTCTCCACATTTGTCAATTATCTCTTTGGTTTGCTACAGTATAGTGTCAAGAACCACACACTAGCTGGGTTGTTGAACTCCAGAGTTTTGGAGCATAAAATCACATGATTAGCAGAAAATGAGCTTTACAAATGGTTCCCAGCTGGGGAAGCTGATGTGCTAACTGTGTGCAGCTTCACACAGGGAGTCTTAGATCTGGGCAACAAACACACCCTGATGTCACCATTTAATCACCAACCTGCTCTGGAGCATTGATGACTCCTGTGTTGTAACCAAACTGCAGAGAGCCGATGACAGCGGTGCCGAGAGAGAACAGGAGGTAACCTGTGACTTGCTTTTCTTTCTGTGAGGAAGAAGAGGGAGAACAGGAGGAGAAAATGTCGGGAAGAAGAGGAAAAGAAGAAGGTAGGAGAAAGGAAACAGAAAAGTGTGACAGATGTGGAAAAAAGAGGTAGGGTGAAGGAAGGAGACAAAATTAGTCGGAGTCAGCCGAGATTATAAATACATTTTCCTATAATTGCAGCTGGTATACAGATGCAGTAAAGTGGTGGTGCTGATGGCAGGCAGGTCAGTGACGCACCAACAATAATATCAGTATCAGTAAGCTCTAGCTCAGAGCGCCCATAAACACACCACACATGCAGCCACACAAGATTACTCATCATATTTGTACTGCAATCACTATGACACACCGGTTCTCAGTGTAACTCCTGTAAACATTAGTGTACTTCAAGAAAATGTATTTAAAAACCTAAAAATAATACCTAAAATGTACTAAACGTGTTATATATGATGTTATAATGGTTTATTTTGCCCTACACACTAACTGTGATCAATTGTTTTTATGAGTTTCTTCAACATAATCGGCTAAATGCAGATCAAATTCAATAGTGAAGCCGTCCATCTGCTCCTGTGTGAGCTCCCATAATGCCATCGATTCATCTCAGTAATGAAATCAGGGTGAGTATTCTATTAAAGGAGCCGTCACTGGCGTCATGACAATAGAAACGTCCGAGGCACGATGCATTCATGAAGGAACTTACAATGAACTTTTGGGATTTGTTTAAGTTGCCAAATGCGCACTGATGGGATCAGCGTCACATAAGAGACCATCATAACATCATGTCTATTCGAAAATGTTTTTCAATACTCCTCCAATAGAGTGTCCATTTTCGTACTTATATATATATAAACTATATTTCATGATATTAAGTTGAAGGGTAAGGCATGTGCAACGGAAGAACCCATTCAATTTTGGAGCAGATCAGAATCAAGGGGCAGATACAGGCATTTCTTACTCGAATCAGCCTTGACAAAGATTTGTGTTTCCAAGGGCACTTATTGTACTACTTAAGGTAGTAAAACAATCCATGTTCCATCTACAGGGTCACTTAAGGCATCGCAATAACATAAATCTTCACTTTTGGTTCAGCACTTTTTCTAATGTCATTACTGGACAGCAATTAGAGGTCAAAAAAGGTCAAAGCTTATAAACGCTTCACAATTGATCCCACATATGAAATTCCGGGGAGGTTAAGCTGGATCTCAGCATTGGAAATAACTCCATTGTGTCTTTGTTTCTGCTGATGTCTGTTACAAAGCAGTCAGTACATAAAGACACTCGCTGCTGACGGGGCAGAATGTGCCGCTGTTATATGAGACAGTGTAGAGACCTGGAGGCCTCAGGTGACACACCGCCCTTGGTACAAAATAATCGGAGCGAGGTCACATAATATTAGCATGGACTGCACTTCTCAAGATTCACTGTAGCCAGATGGGTGTTGGCCACACTGGACCAATCAGAGAAAGAGAGAGAAATATGTATGGGAATGTATCTGAAGGTCAAAGTGGAACGATTAAAAAGAGCAATTTGACATTAGGAGCGTTCACACCGCAGTACTTTTCCCACTTTAAAATGAGTTCATGAGAACCTTTTTACCCCCTTTTCCGTCCCTGCTAGAGAGCAAGGACTTTCGTGGGAGAAAAAGGTTCCTATTTCTGATTGGCTGGGCGGAATGCAAACCACACCCCGTAAAACCGCCATTTTATTATCCTCGCATTAGCATTATTAGCATTAGCATTAGCCCAGCGCACAAACGCAGAGAGACTAACTTATGGCAACACAAAAGAAAACATGGGAGCGGTGGAGATGAGGAGGTGTCGGCGTTCTGGCGATTTACTCGGAAGGCTTCAGTAGAAGCTGCTGGGAATCCCAGCAGCTTCTACTGAAGCCAGTCCCCAACTCCGGGGACTCCGGGTGGCAGTATACGCCGTGAAGTTGTTTGCGGCCTGCCAGTAAACCCAAAGCAGAAGAAGAAGAAGTGACGTCAGCGGCTTCATTTGCCTAATCCTCCCTCAGGGACTTATTCCGGTGTGAACGCGATCTGTACTTAGTTCATGAGAACTAAAGAGTTCTCATGAACTAAGTTCTGATTAACCTTTGTGGGAAAAGTACTGCGTTGTGAAAGCGCCTATTGGCATATTTCAGATTTCAAATATCAGATTCATTTTCTCTGTATAAACATCTAAGAAACTGTGTTTAAGCCTTGTATTAAAACAACGAGCCATTAGATGAATGACGACACCTTTAGGTAATGGATGGATGACGTAGAAGGGGAAAAAACATGTTTCTTAGCGTTTACTTAAATCGGAACATTGAAGTCTTATATAGTAGAAAATGATAGTTCTTACTTTATGAAGTGAAGTGAGAGGCAGTGTGCTCACTGAATATTGCATGCTCATAAAACCTTCAAGGGTACATTAAAGCAAACATCCACCCAGTCCTGCATTTGGCTGTACGCAATTGAGTGAATCGTTGACTTACTCAGTCAAATCAAGAGTCTTTTAGGAAATGAAATCTACCCTTTGGCCAAAAAGCTTTTTCACTGTGTTGTTGCCTTCCTTGGTTTGCAGACGTTCCCTGAAGATTTAGGTGACATTTATGAGCAAACAATAAATCTTGTGAGCCTTCAATGACTCAAAGCTCTAGATGTATCTGGGTTTGTCTGCACATGGATTTATGTGGATTAGTCTGCTCATATTTTGTATCTCAGTATCAATGAGACCAAATAGAAACTTTTGTCTTTAAAATGTGTATATTTTATTTCATAGGTTAATTGATAATAATGTTAATGAATCATCACATACTGGCTCTGAACTGATCTACTGTTCCTTCAAATAAGTAATGTGAAAAAACACAACATAGTTTTAAATTGTTGTATGGATCCATGTATATAAGTTATATAAGATATGCACTTTCTGCTGTTTTAATCATGTAAATATCCCCTGTTGCGGAGAAATAAAGGATTTCTGATTCTGATATTCCACTCCCTTTATTTTATTATTTTATATTTGTTGCGCTCATGGTAATGCACAACTCATCTTTTAAAATAACTAAAATGTTACAGTGTTTCCCCTAGGATGGAGTCATAGCAGCGGTGCTAAGGCACGCGGGCCCAGCAAAATGTGAGCGCGTGGAATCTTTTAGTGTGTGTGCGTGCGAAGTGCGCCCCGCCAATATGTTTCTATGTGTTTGCCAGCACAAGAAAGGCTCTTGAGGCTCTACAGGTGTATTTTGCTAAATCACCTTTATTGAACATACAGTAACACAAATACTTCATGTACTAAATAAAATGTATGCAATTTAATTATTTTAACCTGCTTTATTTGGTGGTGGACCTCACATCCCCTAGGGGGGTCCGGGGGCATGCACCCCTGTGACGATTTGTTTTTAAATGTTGAAGTGAAATGCATCAATCTGGTGCACTTTGAGCACAAAATGAATTTATGGATACAGCTCTCAACAAGATGAAAGAGAGCTGTATACTTTTCAATAATCCAAACATCTTTAGAATATGATCACAAATAACAAATCATTTAAACTAGTTTATTCTTATCTTATGTTACCTAGTTAGCATTCTTTCTTTTTATTTATGCATATTTTACTAATCACTCCCCTTTTAAACTGTTTTTTTGTTTTTACTGTCTTATAGTACACATTGGAATGATTTCTTACTTTATTTTTTACAATTATATTAAATAGATAAAGGTGTGCTCTCTCTAGCTCTCTCGCTCTCTCTCTGTCTCGCTCACTCACAGAGGCTGTGTGCTCCTCCGTGGCGATGACGCGAGCGCCACGTATTATTATTTTAATGAATAAAAATAAAAAAGAATTAAAATATATATATATATTTGTTTTGGTACCTGGCTGGCGCCCCGTAGCAGCGGCGTGCATACATTCATGAATGTATATAGGGGAAACACTGTGTTAACATTAAAACAATACTTCATTCACAAATCCCAGGCCAGTGTGTAGGAAAATAATGTGCCTGCCCCTCACATTCAAAACGTGAATAATTAAACAAATTAAATGGTCTAATAATACGCCATCTTTTAAAAAAAAATTGCTAGTCTGCTAAATGCCTGTGTCATTCTAAACGCACACTGAAATGGCAACTTCCTGATTTTGCAATTGGAATTCCTACCAGAGCCACAGAAGACATTATACAACTTCTTCACCAGAGTTGTTTTCCTCATGATGAATACAATCTGTGGATTGTACCTTTCACTGTCAGGCTGAATGAATGAAAGTCAATAACAAAGAGTTGGCATTAGGGTAGAGAAATTGGTGTCCAATACTAAACTATGAAATTGTATTTGTACATGTGATGAATTTCAAATGTTTCACTGAGACACTTTGAACTGATTCTTCACCCTCCACCCTCCACCCAAACTCATCAACATCACTCAAGTTAAAAGTGAATTAAAGGAGACAGCACGGAAAAAGCTCCCAGGGCGTCACCAGACACCAAATGCAACTCATTGCACACACACACACACACACACACACACACACACACAGTCACAGTGACTCAGTAGAAAGTCACATGACTGGCACCCAAAACATCTGAGATAATGTTCCACAAACAGAGTGTAAATGATGCAATGCAGTTATAAAATAATATTTTGGCTACAGCTAAAATCCTCTTTAATCTTATCAAAATTAATTATTTTTCTTCCTTGTCAATGTTCAGCTTAATCTGTCTTCTTTGATTTGGATTTCCACATGTTATTATCATTGCTCCAAACATGACAAATATGAAATGTTTAAGGGAGAGCAGGAACACCATTTAAATCGAACAGGATTACTAGCTGATATTGTTCTACATTGGTCTGTATTAAGCTCCAGACAAACTTCTGTGTTAGCAGCCTGTTGCAGCACCCACAGATGCTGCGTTACTATAGTAACCAGTGCCATGATGACATAATGAGACCACACGATCGATCCAACCTGCTCGTGTGAGGCCTATAAATGTATGTTTGTGTGCAAATAGAAAACATTTTAAAACAATCACAACCCTAAAGTTGTCTCAAGTACAACAAAAAAAACGTAATATAAATATATAAAAAGATAACTCATCCAAATGTCCTTCTCAAACTCCACATCCTAAATATATTAGCTTCTTTCTCCTTGCCTCCATTAAGATATCTCTGTCTTTGTTTTCTCTCCATCCACCCAGTGGTGTCCATATCGCTCCCTACCCCCCTCTCGTCCTTTCTTCATTTCCATAGCAACAGCCGGGAGGTGACATTATTATTGACACAGGCTGAAAGTAACCAAGGCACCGAAGGCGCTCGTGCACAATGCTAATCTCATAAACCAAAGTAACACTAGTGGGCTGCAATAATACATGTGGAAACACACACACACACAGTGACCTACATCCAGACAGCCCCGTTTCAACTCAACTTTGGAGTGAAACCAGGAGGAAGGGAGAATGCATCGAGCTGTTTTGATGGGATGATTCAAAAACGTTTCAATCGGGATTTTAGCATGAGGGTCGTGTATTGATGAGCTCGTCAATGTTTGACACGAGGGATAAGAGCAGGATGCCGAGTCAGAGCACGACACGGGAATATACACGCACACACAAATCCAATGGCATACATTTGTGCAACTATATTAGACTATTTTCAGAGGAACGTCAAAGGTTGTGTGTGCAATTTAGCATTAGCCGTTGCTTCTGTGGAACACTATGCTCCTGGTTTTTTTTACAGACTTAACCTGACTTTCACAGCATTTTCACCATCACTTTTAAGTTACATTTGATGTTAAAAAAAAGTTTAAATGTTTGCTTAACTTATAAAAGATTGTGTGAATTTGTACGACCCAAGAATTTACAAACAGCGTTATTTTATCAGTCAATCTAATAGCACACTTCTCTGTACAGGGCCTCATACACTTCTTTGTTATACTTGATCAACATTTTATCAGGTAATCATGCTGAGATCCAGATATCTTTTTCAAGGTGACATGCGTACAGCTGGGAGAAGCAAATAAACAAAAAGCAGGATGGAATGAATACATTCAAGAAACAAAACGAATCATAGGCATCTATCACAAAAGCACACGCAGCATCAGAGTCATTCACAGAGATCAATTCAGGTTCGATCTTTCTTATCTACTTCTACCTCTAAATGGATATTTCTACAGCTCCTTTTCAGCCAGCCCCAGAGGAACATAATGCGTGTGTCTGTGTACGAGTTTAAGAATAGTAACAGGTTCGTTTTCAGTAGTGAGGTGCGTCTTGGTGCTGCATTGCATTCTGCTCTATTTTCTACTTCTTCTGCAGTTCTAGAAACAGCAGTCTAGGCCTTTACAATAATGTATATTATCATCAAAATGTTTATGTGATGTTTAGCATTGTAAAAACGATTATATAATCTAGAAATGTGAGTTTTAAACTTCCATTGTTACATACAGTATAAGCTTGATCCGTGATTTATTGATCAGATAATGAAAATATTCTTAATCTCAAACATAGCCTAAATCTGAACCCCAAACAAAGAAAATGAAATTACTTTCCTCTTTTGCCTCTTGTATGCAGATCCAAACATACATAGGCTACATACCTATGTTGTTTCTCACACTATACTGAACATATACAGTAGACACAAATTATAAAAAAGGCAGGCATGCGTACTGAAATCCATCACAAACGTACAGCCTTAGATGTGTCTCTTATACAGACTTAACACAACTCTGCAGTGCTCCTGGTGACTCACAGAGTTATTGTAGCATACATACATACGGCTCACACCGCCCACACTGATCTGCTTAGACACTCACTTTATATTAGAAACACTCCTCACACGTGCATTATTCACAAATCACAAGTCTTTGTAAAGACAGACAGGAGTTGCAGTTCAAATACTTCTTTCTTTTTTTAATGGAGAAACAAAAATGGAGACATACAAATGCACCCTGGAAAAAGATCCCCTCCTTTTTGTGAGTCTCAAGTATGAAGAAAGAAAAACACTTGCCTGCCCCTCCATCTTCTGATTGTAGCTGGATGATCACCGAGAATGTGTTTTACTCCAACTGAAGGATGCAGAGATCTTCAGGTCGTGGTTATAGGCTGCGCAGGACCCGCCCGCCGGAGCTGTCAGCTGCAGGAAAAGAAACACACCTCGTTAGGCGCTGTCCGTGGTACCAGCCGGCTCTGGCAGGCAAGTCACGACCGCTTTCCCATCAGGGAACCACACACTAATAATCAATAACTTGCATTTTGTACAGGGCAGATTTCAAGCTATAAAGGACAGGAAATAGATGGGGATGAAAACTAACCTCTACTTGAACATATTTGGTACATTCTTTACACAAAAAAGAACCCCAGATCCTGGAAGAAACGGACAAAAAGGGATATTAAAGTGACACTCACCTCTCGTGACTAGCAGACAAAGATACCCTCGCTGGGCTGCAGCAGTGCCTCCCTCTTTTTAGAATTCGTCTCACACGGTGGGCTGCGAGGAGAACCGCACGTAACCGCACGCAAATGTTTTCATTATATATTTTCGTTTAGGCCTACTCCATCAACCTATGAAAAACTGGAATGATCGGATGCTGTGACGTTGCCCCGCCCCTCCGCTTTTACGTTGAGAAATCCGTGCATCATCGCCGCATCCCGTGAGTCCAATGTCCTATTATGGGGGCTGCCTTTGTTCGGTTACTTGGTCGAAAGCCTGGGCGCATGCGTGGTAAAGGGTCTCCCGAGGGTCGTGAGGGGATAATTGTGGCCCCCCTCTCTCCCTTTCTTTCCACGTGCTCTGGTGTCCTCCTTTCCTTCCCATGATGCATCTCGCCGGCGACCTTGACAGTAGCTGCTGGGCGATGCTGACGCTGCGGATGCTGATGCAACGCGGCCCGTTACTGAGGCAACGGGTCATGCGGTACAGCTTAGATGATGCTCCAGGTGTAGGAATAATCACATTTTTAAAAACATTTAATTTGACAGTATGTGCAGACAGTAATGGTTTGAGAGCAGCCAGCAGACAGGGCAAATATCTATAACAATGCGAAATATAAACGGATATATCCAATAATGCACACTGCAGTTTCCCTGGTCCCATGATTTGCTCGTGACACAGAAAATAACAGTCAGCTGATGTTGCATCATGGAGGTTTGTATAACATGATGCTGCAATTAATGTGGCATATTTCAGTCAAGTCAGAATGAGTTTGGAAAATTCGGTACCTCAATATTTATACTGAACAGTTTCTAAACTATATTTTCTAGTTTATTTTTTCTAATTTTAATTTCTACTTTGTAGATTTTTGCACTCCTGATTAGATCCTTAACTGCATTTTGTCCTCTAATTATGATTACTTGGCACAATGACAAGTTGAATCTCACATTTGTCCTTTTGAAAGTGGTCTAAAGCTTTGAGGTTTGAAAGATTCAACATTTTCTATATATTATTTATTTTATTATCTCTTTACACCAAACTCAATTTTTACTTTCATAATATTGCCATGATGTTTCTCCATATTGTGACTTTCAATCTTTAAAAAAGGAATGTTGTCAACTTATATATAACTCTTATATTTAAAAAATATCTTGTTTTTTTTACCAGAGGGAATATAAGTGGTTTCAAAGACAACGTTGTTATTTAATATCTGACAATTTAAATGTACTGTGGAGACAATGGGACCTATTACTGTACATGTTACACAGCTCTCACCTTTCAACATAAAACACACCCCTGAAGAGACATCTATTATTTTAAACTGAGCTCACATATTCAAGGCTCGAATTTCCGTAGTTTTAGTATAACATGGATGATGAAATAAAGCAGGACAGCAAGGTTCACAGTAACATTATATAATTTATTTAGTCGCTTCTGTACAGAAACAGCATTTAAGCATTTTCACATTATACTTGGATGAAGACAGAGGATTGTTCAGATCTTTCCAGCAAAATTTCCCGCCTCCAACTGATCGTCCCATTTCGTAACCTGCAGCATAGAGTAAGAGAAAAGCACAAAACAGAGAAAGCACTAAGATGTTATGTTTATGGTGAACATGGGAACTTATTCCTGACATTAAGAACAGTTTTAAACGCACCCAGCTCACGGGGCAGAGGCTCTTGTAGACCCTCTGGTACCAGTCGCAGGGAGCCGTGTCCTGGTCTTTGGCGGACAGAGCTTTGTTACATCTGTGGAAATCTGCAGAGAACACAGAGAAGAAGAAAATCAAATCAGGAAATAAACACCCTGACATTGCTGCTACTTCGGGTGAGCCATTAGTCTGACAGTTTTTTTTTATCAAAAGAATAAACACATTTTTGATAGGAAATTCTATTCGAATGAACGACATATTGCGGTCGTATTATTATAATTCCTTTAAGTCTCAATGTTTGCGTAGTTCAGTTTCACAATAGATTCACAAAACAGCGTCTACAGGTACTTTAAATCTGAAAATCAGCATGGGATGAGTACTACAGATGAACAAACATCTCAATTGTTAAAGAGCTTTGAAAGAGAGCTGTGAGAAGAATCTAAATGAAGATACAAATGATATTTGAGGTGGTCTGAGACAGAGATAAAAGTGTAGCACCTCTTTAGTTTGCTGCTACATCAACAGAGGGTGCAGTTCGTTTTTCCGCAGATTAAAACATTAAACTCACCTTTAAAAAGCAGGAACTGTTCAATGTATTCAGTGTTGTTCTTGTTTTTGACGCAAAGTTCAAGCAGATGCAGTAGGCTAAGTTTCTTATCCTCAACACATCACTTTAAAATAAGATATTTTGGCAGAAAGAAAGATAGACACCAATTTATACTAATGACAACGTATACAAATGATTATAATAACCCAATACATCTTAGGACAAAATAAAAAATATCTTACATGTACTGAATTGTTATGTTTATGCATGGGTTTTTTGTTGTTGTGTTGTTTCCTGTTGTTTGCTCCTTTTACCCCTCACTACTGTCTCTCCTTCTCTGCAGGGCTGGTGTGTGACAGGGGGCGTGGCTGGTATTCTCCTGGCTGCAGATGAGGCACACCTGTAATCAACCTGCTCTTTAAGAGCCTGGCCCTCACCTCACTACTCTGCCAGAGAATTAAATGCTGTTCGACGATCCAGAGTGCCTTTCTGCAGCCTTGAGTCTAGTTTTGTTCACTTTGCAGTTTTTGAGCAAATCTTTGAGTTTTTGCCTGGGACGTTTTCCCTCTGCTTTGTTTTTGGACCTTTCTGCAGCCAGCCAGCTCCCTGTCTTCAGTACCTGCCTTGGACTAGCTTTCTTTATTAAACACATTGAAACTTTATTTGTGTCAGTCTCTGTTTTGGGGTCCTAAGCGCCACACTGAATATTGGAAATACTTAGTAAATGTGACATAAAAAGCCTTTAGGTGAAAAGATAAGGGATTACAATTAATGAATAAAGCAAACAATGTCAGAAATAACCTTTTTCAGTTTGAGCTTATGCAGTTAGAAATCTGAGTTTATATCCACACATTCATCAAACAATAAGGTGAGGTTGAGGATAAGGAAATACATTCACATAAAACCTTATAGCCAAGTTAAATAAAAACATAGGCAGATTTAATCTGTGTCCATGTTCACATGGTTTGGTTTAAGGTTTGAGCTGGATTTAGCATGAGACAAAACAAAGGAACTCCCCAGTATGTGTGTGATAAGGAAACATGCAGATACAGTTTACATCAGTAGGTTTGAAAAACTACAGCCTGAGGGATAACATCAATCTTTAGCAGCATTGATAGGGTACAGTCATTATGAACTAGATGTAGGGATGTGAAGTAAATGCATTATCTTATTTACCCAGATAGTTTTGGTAACAGTTGCGGGTCTGGTTAGTGTTGGGGAAGCGGGCGTCGAAAGGAGCCGTCCTGTAGTTCTTGATCTTCTCATCGATGTTGTCAGACATCTTCAGGCTGCTGGATCTCTGCAGAGGACCAACAGGATGTGACACAAGACTGAAACCACACTGACTGGACACAATAAGAAAAACAGTGGACCAAATTGAGTAGACATAGCAGAAAGACAGTGGGTCTGCTGTATAGGCATTTTATCCTCACAACACACTGTGCAGGGCAGTGGATAGCACACCGCACAAAATGGTACATTTGCTAATGTTATGCTTGTATTGGTATCTGTTTTGGATGCCGAATTAAACAGACGACCCTAGTGACTAGTTAGAAACCTTCAGTTGTGCGTATGTTTTTATCACTAACGATAGAAATATTCAAATTCACATTTATTCAAAAGGAGTTGGGTATCACTTGCATGATACAACAGTGAATCATTGTTTGGCTAGCGTTATAGCCACCGGTCAGTATTTATTCAGGGCATGTATGAGCTAACAATTAGCTTTTTTAAGGGAAGTATAACAATAATGCAGGTAATACATCAATTACATTTAAAATAAAAACAATATTTACAATAATAAGACTGTTTGCTGACGTTAACCGTTGGAGATAAATATAGATACATTAACGACAAGCCTGGTCAGGTGTTACTATGGACGCTATTCACATCTCCGCCATTTGCCCGGACAAACACATAAATGACAAAGAAAAATTACATTAAAATGCAATTATTAACAACGTACTAGTGAGGTAAAAAGCAAGTTATTTATATGAAATGCAGTGTACCTTTCAAAGAGAAATTCCGCTATAATCGCTGTGTCCTTAGGTCTGAAGGACTGATCACTCGCAGTGCATGCTGGGAAACAGAAATGACGCTTCAAGTGTGTTTAAAAAGAGCAACGCCGCCATCTTGTGGACACAGTGAGGAAGTACAACTGCACTATGGAAACAGCAGCAAAGTATGACAGATTATACCTGCAGTTAATGATGGCCATTATGATGTTTGAAATGATGAATGTAGCATAATTGTAACACAAAATGGTTATACACACATTCAAATGCAGCATAAAAATGGTGTGAGGCATACATAAAACCTCATGTGCTTAAATATTGAACATTATAGTTTATTTTTCTCTGGCTTTACAGACATAGCCTACATACACTTTATACAAAATTAACCTATAAGACATATATACTTTTTTAACATCCTCTGCCATGAGCACAAATACATAAAATAGAAAAAGTGGTCAAAACGGTTAATAATAATAACTAAAAACATCTAAAATAAACATCATAAAAACAGCAGAAGACACTAACATTACAGTAACGATTTTATTCAAAACTTATCTTATGATAAATAACAGGACAGAAATATATTTATTTTTGCATTTTTGGGGAGATTTCTTACCAGCATTATTGTTACTGTGTGTTAAAGAAAAGTGTGATTTAATTTAGACATGTTTGTATTGAGTTATATATTCTAATAATAATCACCATCAACATGGTCTTGTCTTGTCTTCTCCTCTCTTCTCCTCTCCTCTCCTCTCCTCTCCTCTCCTCTCCTCTCCTCTCCTCTCCTCTCCTCTCCTCTCCTATCCTCCCCTCTCCTCTCACTGTAGAGTAGCTTGTCTCCTCTCACAGACCCTCCTCAGTAGGTTGGAGCACTTGTAGGTGAACCAGCTCTTCCTGTAGTCGTCTCTCGGGGTGAGGCGTCCACACAGCTCTCTGCTGTCTGCGTTATCGGGCTCACGCTCCCAAAACCTGCAGGGAGAAGCAGAGGGGGAAAAAAACACAAAAACAGTCTTTAATCTGTTACCATGGCAACCACTACTCCTCCATAAGAAAATGCATCATAAAATGAATACAACCACCCACTGTCTTTATTAGGGGAAATCTGATTACACATATGCAAAATGAGAAAATACTTGGATAACTCTGATCAGAATTCATGATTAATATCGAAGAGTAAGTTCAAAAATCTTCAAACTCCTTTTAAATTTCAAACAGTATGCTACATATAACAATATATCCAACATAATACCAAATCAAACAATCTTTACAAAAAATAATTATGTTTTGTTGTTACATTTTCTGTTTAAATGTATTTCCTAACACATATTCTATGCTTTTTCTTCCTATTTAGACCCCCTTATTGTCTATTTTATTGTGCAATTTACTATTTACATCTTATTTGTAACTTCATTTTTCCCGTGTTTTTATTAAAAAGTTGAAATTACGAGGAACGTTTTTCATACAGGCCTGAGCAAACTGAATGAAGTTAATTTTTTTGTACCTATTTCTATGTATTTCACTCAGGAAATGTTAAACAACTTTACATGGAATCACTTGTGTGTCCTTATTGGTGAACCAGCAACCTGTGACCAAACTCTTGAGTTGCAGGAATAGAGATCAGGGTGGGGCAGGGTGTCCCTTAACCTCAGGAGCCCCGTCTGTCCCCGGTCAACCCCCCTCCTCTTCCTGTCTGCCATCACTCACCCTGCTCCCTTCTCCACCCGGGAGCCGTCACTCCACTGCCAGCCCCCGTCACCACCTCCCCCCCTGAGGCCCAGCCAGTACGAGTCTCCCTGGCTCAGACTCTGGGCCTTCCCCCACAGAAACACCTGAGAAACATGTCAGGAAATGTCATCCATTTGTCAGGAAAGGTTTCAATGTATCACCCCTTTTCTACAAACATCATTTCACCACCCTTATTGGGAACAACATCAAGGACATAAACTGTGTTACATAAACAGTGAAAGACAAAACTTGAGATGACCTTAAGCTGCGACTGCTCCTGCAGACGTCTCCATATTTCATAGCAGTCTTAAATCTATTCTTAACTTCTCTCCCTGATGGTGTGTGAAATGTGTGTCCTTACAGCTAAAATGTCAAGGAAAGCATCTCAAATGTTTACAAGTGGACACACGCAGAATATATCATCAATGAAGTTCCAGGAAAGACACATACATACTAAGAATAGAAGGCTGTTTGCAGTAAAACCCATTATTATAATTCACTGAATTGATTGAATATGTATTTGGAAGCAATCAGAGTGGGTTCAATGATTCAGGAAGTAGAAAATGATAGGACAGTAGGTATGTGTGTGTGTGTGTGTGTGTGTGTGTGTGTGTGTGTGTGTGTGTGTGTGTGTGTGTGTGTGTGTGTGTGTGTGTGTGTGTGTGTGTGTGTGTGTGTGTGTGTGTGTGTGTGTGTGTGTGTGTGTGTGTGTGTGTGTGTGTGTGTGTGTGTGTGTGTGTGCACCTGCTCCTCCTCTGTCTGCACTTTGGCCACAGCCCCCCCCAGTGCCATGCAGCGGTACTGGCTGCTGATCCAGTCAGCTCTGTCCTGACTGAACAGGAAACATTTTCCTCCATTAGGCGTCCAGCCGGCTGGACATGGTGTGCACACTGTCTCTGGGTGAAAAAACAAGAAGAAACAATAACAAGAATACAAAAAAACATCAGTATGTGTTTACATTTTCAAGCTCAAAATGGCCCTTTGACAACAGAAATGACAATATGAAAAAAGAAACACATTTAAAGAACAGAAAATAGACAAATACAGTAGATGCTGAAATATTTAGGTAAAATAAAGAAAAGAGACCATTCAAAATAGTACAAATTAGTAAGTCTGTTAAAAAAAAGAAGTGTTTCAGCTGACAGAAATATGCTAACAGAACCCACATCTCTTATAGCTCTGGTAGTGATAAACATTTTTCTAATACATCAAAAAAGTACTATCATGTTATGCAGTTTTGTAATAATCATGCAAATTGTTGTTTTAGGGGGAGAAACCACAGGTGAATAGAAAAACTATTTGAATAATACAGTATCACCATGAATTCTTATAGCTGATGACTTATTACTAATATTAAATATGCAAATGGTTTAACTCTGGTGAAGTTAGGAGACATACAGTATAGAGATGCAAATAGACAAAGTTAAAAAAAAAAATACCTAATGGTGTGTTTTGGTTCTCATGTTAATTAATATAATACATAATAAAGCCAAAAGCAACCCTGGTTCTGGATTAAATAAGGAAATTCTATAATTTCCGTGATTGACCGCCAAATTTATGGATTTTTAATAAAGCGACAACATTGAATATTTGACAAAATGCAGTCTTTAGTTCGAAACCTGACCCTACCATTTCAATATGTCTAAACTTAACCTAACCCGTAAATATTGTATATTGTAAATGTGTATTTACTTTCTAAATATGTCCTCACTCTCCTACCCTGACCCTGGAGTCACACACACACACACACACACACACACACACACACACACACACACACACACACACACACACACACACACACACACACACACACACACACACACACACACACACACACACACACACACACACACCCTTATTGACAGTCACTTTTCTTTGTCAAGTCACAGTGACTCAGTAGAAAGTCACATGACTGGCACCCAAAACATTTGAGATAATGTTCCACACGCACACACACACGCGCACGCCCACGCGCACACGCACACGCACACACGCACACGCACACGCGCACACACACACACACACACACACACACACACACACACACACACACACACACACACACACACACACACACACACACACACACACACACACACACACACACACACACACACACACACACACACACACCTTTACCCCCGGTGCTGGAGTTGCTGACTGAGCAGTACTGGTTCAGAGCGGGATACTGGGAGAACAGGAGGCGATAGGACTGGTTCAGCTCCTCCAGTCTGTGCGTCAAATATTTCAGTTTGTTTTCCTGCAGGGCCGACTGTGACTGGAAGGTGAAGGTGATCTGAACCACTGCGATACCAAACACACACACACACAAACCAGAAAGACAGAAAATTACTTAGGTTACACAATGTCCCATCACCTGTTTCCATGGATACAGGATAGTAAAGGATGTGTCTGAGAGGAAACAAAGCTGACTGACGGAGGTAAAATTAAATAAAGCACCATTCAGAAGAATCATAAAGAGTCGATCCGCTCAAACCTTCAAAACGAAGACATTCAGTCTACATTTATGACAAAATGACATCTGCTGGCACAACAGTAAAGAATGTTCTGGACTTCTTTAAAGCAAAGATGAAGACATTATCAGGTCATGGCTGCTGTTATAGTTTAACGTATCAAATATATCCAACATTGTCAAGACATCCAAAGGAAAACCTAAACAAATGAGACAAGGCAGAGGACAAGCCTTGAACAAGATCAATTCATTTCACATAAATGCTTAAACACCACAGGGTCTAAAAACAAAGGCGGTCGCAAACATACTGTAACCAACTGAGACAAATGTGTAATTTGGGCTATATAGATAACACTGGATTAATTTGATTAATATGACAAATTAACATAAGTTATAGAAATTGTGCCTACTCATGGGGTCAGTATTAAAAGTCAAACTGTGATGAAATACTCACAGCTGAGAGTCAGCAGGAGAGTGACCATGATGAGCAGAAAGCAGAGCAGAGAGAAGTAATGAGCCAGCTGTCTGTACCGACTCAACCAGCCTGAGACAAAATAAGACATATTTTAAGCCTAACAATGGATTTCAAGACAGAAGGTGTTCTGATGGACTAGATTGCATTAGATTGCATGATATTCTGCAGCGGTCCCTATATCAATATCACTGTTTATAACTGCATTTTAAAAGAGAAAATGAAAACGTTTATTACACGAGTAGCTGATTATTTTATGGATCAACAGCATTATTCTTCTTAAACTTAACCATTTTCAAAGGATAACAGTATGAATACAAAACACTGAGTTTGTAAGCACTCCAAAGTTCCTTTAAGATAAAGTATTTGGCTGTGTTAAGAAATATTTAAATGTATGTATATATT